ATTTGTTCCATAACAACTGATCAAGTTTATAAGTTAGCCTTGATAAGGACGCCTAAACGCTGAAAATCAAAAAATTTAAAATCAATCGATCACTCTGTTATTGTGAAGAAAGTGAGTTCTATGCTTATTAAACCCGACATCTGGAACAACTATGAACCAACTTTAATTATCTCATCAAATAGAAGCCTGCAGAAAAATAACCGCTCAATGCATGTCTGTAAAGGAGAATAATCTGTTCTACTCAAAAAAATTATCTCCATATTTCCCTATTTGATTGAAATCTTCGAAAATACCATTGATGAACCATTTTCTTCAAACTTAAATGCTTTTATTAGCTCAGCACCTTTTCATAAAATTATTCGCTTAATCTAATATCCTCACATCAGATCTATGCTCGCCGATGCATAGAAATAGGAAAGTGGAAACTTTTAAGCAAAGGGTACGGCAGTGTAAGCGTTAAAGGGTAACTGTTGACAATCCAATTTACTCCCAATATATATGTGTTGAAGTAGGGATTGGAAACCACTAACCGTAAAGGGTGATTATAAATTTCACAGGCACAAAATTGATAATCAATATCAGAATGACGGTTTACAAAGTTGGCAACATCTATCTTTGGGAACTTTGATAGGAACGGAAATAATGCAATATTCCTAGCTACAAGACACTGGCCCGATAAATTTCATGCAAAGCATGTTAGCAACCCCAGGCAAGCCTTAGCTCTGACTTTGAAAAAGAAAAACTTCAATAGAGAATGTGAAGTGATTAATTTTGCCCCAATTTTAACAGATATCTCTTGCAAAGCATGAAGTAGTAGAAATTGGTGTGAGAGGAAGAGAAGTCTATTTGCGGATGGTGATTTACTTTGCAGTTTTGAATTGCTGTTGGGACACTGCAGTGATATCCCCTTGACTGTGACGCTGAAACTCGCTTAGTTTTCTTCTGACGGTGGTGCACTTAACGGTTACGCCCAATTAGGCTGAAAAAATTAAAAAATATGTACATATACGTATTCAATAAAGTGACCAATGCGGTGAATATTATTTTGCTTATTTGTAAATGAGATAATCTAGTTGGCCTATCCAAGTATTTGACCGATTTGAAGACAATTGGAAAGGCCTAACTAGTTTCATCAAATCAATATTAAGGCAGAACAAGGTGATTTTTCTGGTTAAATTGATCTTATGTTTCAAAATGGATTTGGTGTGGGAGAATTGCTTTTATCAGCGAAAAAGTCATTTTTAAACTCTCATGGAGAAGTTTTAGTTGGGAATAATGTTAAAAATTTTGACTTGGAGAAATCAATTGTTTATTTAATGTCTTTTTTATATTATTATTTAAAATACCGATCAACTCTTATGCGACAATAAGAACTAAAATGGCTTACGTTACACTGTGTAAAACTGGAGTTGAATTATAATGCCGCAGAGAAACCGTTCTTTCTTGCATTCTACTTGTAGGTAGCGAAAATTTCCTTTAACTTAATTAAGATCTTAACCGGGGGTGTGCGATAGACTTACCTCAACGTGGTGCACCATGGGCAGCGTATGCTCATACGGCAAAAATGTCTATAAACCGGCAGTTGACTTCTGACTGCAAACTGCCATGACCCCACTGTATATCATATTCGACCCCTTTCACAGTACTTACCTCACCTTTTTTCTACCTTTGTGTCTGTCTCCTTACATCTTGGAAACACTTCTGCTCCTCCCCTCCCTCTCTCGACTTTTTTTCACTTTGATGTTCCTTCCCCTTTGTGAAGCTTGAAGTCAACTAAAGGGCTAATGATAACTATCACTACGCCTGCCATTTGATATAAATAAATAATGATCTTAACCGTGTAATTCTTAATTATGTGGTCTGATGAGTACATTTAAAGAAATCAAGCCAAGTGCTTTTTTTAAAGCACATGGATGAAATTCAAACGCTTCTCTCGTGAAGGAATTAATCGGTTAGTGACTTTTCACCACATTCGCGGACTCAACATTTTACAAATTTGTCAATTATATTAATAAACTTCACCCTGACTGAACATAGCTTTCGGAGCTCTGCTTGCTCTAAAATTCGTATTACTCACACCTTCAATTCCAAGGCTGTAGATTGTTGAATAGCACGTAAGACTATTACATCTTAGAACATCATAGAAAAAAACGCCCAATGCAATTCAAGAAGAGACACGTCAATTTGGAATTTCGGTATAACTCGAGTCCACCAAAAAATGCAAATAAATTAAGGACTTTCGCTATAACCTTAAAGCTCTTAGCAGTTTTCCGTTTCCCTCCCCGTAATTAATTATTGTACTGGATTGCAATCATTTCTCATAATTAATAAATGGAACATTTTTTTGTTTTAGTGTGAATACTAATATCAAGGACAATAATTGTAGTTAAAATTATATCAGCTTCAAGAAATTGCAATTACTTACAAATTATTACTTCATTGGGGTTAGTTATCATCGCTAATTTCGAGTTTGAGTCAAATTATTTTTACTAAATTGAATCGGTACTGACTTTATGCCTTAAAAAAATTCAAAATAGAATAGACTTCCTTTATGGCTAGGTTTTAAAATAAAAGGTGAAAGTGAAGTCGCCTTTAAGAGTTTCGGAGTGGACTAACAAGAATTAACCTTAAAAATCTCTTGAGTAGCCAGTTTTGAAAAGGTGGCCAATGTGTTGAAGATTTTCGTCCGGCACACTTTTTTATGCATTTCCTAAAAACAGATATGTTTAAGCTCGGCAAAAATAAAACGGCTTAAATGGTTTAAAATATTGCAAAAGAGAAGGTAAGTTGAACTGAGTCCGATTTAACTTACCTTTCCAGCAACAGGTTAAACTATCTTGTAAAAATCGCCTCTCAAAAGTCAAAATTAATATATATATATATATATATATATATATATATATATTTTAATGCCCCATTACAACCATTTTAATTTTTCACCCGTAAAATTCGGAAAAAAAGCTAAAACAACTTGAATTAAATAAATATTAACCCTGCCCTTGAAGGCAAAATTGCACCTTTAATAAGTCAGATAATTAGCTTAAGAACGCAAATTGAGTGGAAGGATAACTTCACGTATTTATTTCCTCCGGAATTTTGAAAGTCTTTCAAACAGATCTTTCAGAAAATTGGAATAAAGTAGAAATAAACAAAATAAGACAGCCGAAAAGTTTACAACGGTTTCTCTAATATTCGTTTTTTGGCTGTTTAAAGCTTTCGCATTTTCGTTCTTCCAGTTTTTTCCTTAAAACGTCATTTTAACACTTCCCTATCTATGGGACAGGACAAAACCTTCTTCTTTATTCCCGGTATTGAAAATCTCAGTTCTAAAATAATTATTGAAAAGTATACCTTAGTCTGACTGGATTAGTTTATAAAAATGCGAGATAATAGTCGAAATATCTTCCCAAAGTTGTAGTTAACATTTAGATTTGCCATTTTTAGATACATATGGCCTTACATGGAGTGATTTCTTTATTGCAAATCAATTTACTTTACTTTAAATCTACTTCCAATAATGACGGAAACAAGTTACCACTGCAAATGCAGAAAGGTTTAATTTCACTAACAAAGTAAATATCAGTAATTGATTTCAGAATCTCCACTATTTACCCTTTTGAGCAAATGCTTTCCGAACTACTGGACTGTTAGTTGTATTCATCCTGCTGTAGTAGAACTATCCGTATCAATTTGAACGCACCTAAGCACATAGGACTTTCAAAAATGCTTCGAGGAATCGACTATTTATTAAGCTTAAATTCCGCATCTCCAAGGCCTTCGTAGAATATTTGAAATTTGTCGGCTAATATTCGCAAGTGACTTGAAGACTGATAAAACAGTCCGTAACGCCACAACCAAAAAGCTAATTGCAGATTTCGTCCAAAACTGCGTTTTTTAACGACCTCCTCCTCCTCCTCCTTGCTTTATTTGAGTTGTTAGGGTGGAATACCTAATGCATTAGTCGGCCAAGACGCGCGGGGGTAATTTTTCTGAGAGTATGCGAAAACTCCGGCGTAAACCCATCATTAGTGTTTACAAAACCTGGGTCTAATTAGCAAGACGTAAAGAAACAACGTTAGGGTGTGGGTGAGTTGAAGCGGGGGGGGGGCAGTGTTAGCAAAGGTAATGAAAGGGGTCGCACACTCGTGCTGCCGGGGCCACCTGACGTCCGATATGCACTCTTTTGCACTTCTAGTGTAACGGACAGACGAGCGTCTTAGTGAGGCAGACAAGCCCAGTTAAGCTTGTTGCGCGTGCTTCAGTTAGTAGTACGGACGCACACGCGCAGGCCAACATACGCACGACAGCATAAGTGCGATTCTCTGACCGGGAGTCTCGTACACATGCCACTTATCATGCTCCTCATCACACGTAAGCCCCTGTCCATTATATCTTAAAGTAACACTACTACTTATCACTATACTACTATTATATTCTCTTGGTCTCACTGTGTCACAAACTAATATTTAAAGTAGCTTTTCGATTGCATGACCCTGAACATCTGAGCCCATATTATAACCATATGCTTTGCGCAGGAACCCCTTATTTCATGAAGTCCCAAATTGCATTATATTGTACATCTCATTTTTTTAATTATTCCCGAGGAATGAAGAAACTATTCTATTTCTGTCACATTAAGAAGAAAGTGAATTAATGAACTGACGTTGACCCTAAATGCCAATTTCAAACTGCGAAATTGAATTTCTCGTCTCCTATACAAAATCGTTTAATAATCAAATCACTTCACCCCATCTGAAATTTCTCCTAAATTGTGTTGAAAAATTCAATAGATAATTTACTTTTGAAGCAGAATTCTAAGTGAAAGCATTGAAGTCGCTTTGTGCTGAGGAACAATTAAAAACAGCAGTTCAATTGGAGTTTGCGACCATTTGTATTTTTTGTCAATTTGTGAATGAGATTCTTGTCTTGAAAAATAGTATTTACTGGCCTCTATAATATAAACTGGTTTGACTAACCTTTATTCTATTATTTCTTTAGAAAAGAATCATTCAGTGATGGGGTTGGTTCTGACAATTTTGATGATACTTGCTACAAGTGATGCCCTACAGCCACTGACCTATATTGTCCAAGAGGAAGTTCCACGAGGTACCCGTGTAGGAAAATTGGCAGAGGATGTCTTACAAATGTTTGGTACATACACCCCACCCGGGGAAAAGTCAGCTGTCAATCTCAAGATCACAAATTGGCAGGATCTCGGTCCCCAACACTTTGTGATTGACATTGCCACCGGCTATCTTGTTGTAAACAAAATACCCGACAGGGAAGCGTTATGTCCAGACAAGACTGGTCCAGGTCAGACCAGATTTCCCTTTCCCATGGCAAATACTGATGGCAATAACCAGCCCATGCCTGAAAAAATACATGCCCCTGAAGCCGCTGACAATCCTTGTACACTTACCCTCAGGGTTGTCTATACCCCTGAACCAAGTGGAGAAATTACGAAAGATCCAATTCTATTGACAGTTAATGTCATAATCACTGATATAAATGACCATATTCCAATGTTCCCCCAATCTAGGATTAATCTAGAACTTGGCGAAATCTTATCTATACCCGGAGAAACCACAATCACCCTTCCAACAGCTAGTGATCCAGACGCTGGATCAAACGGAACTCTTTCTTATTGGATTGAGCATGGTCTGCTTTCCCATGGAAGTCAGATTACAAATTCCTCTGCATTCCCTTTCAGATTAGAAGGTCTGGCAGATGGGAATCCACTTAGATTACGTCTCATCCAACCCTTGGATTATGAGAAACTAAAATCCTACGAATTCATACTATGTGTTGAAGATCGTGGGACTCCAAACTCTCTCAGTTCTCGCCTTCGAATTCATATTGACGTTCTGGATGAGAATGACAACATTCCGATCTTCTCACAATCAAAGTATTTTATCATTATAAATGAGTCGTTGCCTCGTGGAAGCGTTCTTCTGGATTTGCGTGCCCAAGATCATGACAGTGGCCAAAATGGACAGGTGAGAGCGTGTTCGCATTTATTTTAATTGTTTGATAGCTCTCGTGGGATGGAGAAGGAAATGGGAAAGGGGGGGGGGGTGGAGGGCGAATTGACAGAGGGAAGGTGTGGGTACATTCTTCATCCGCGAAAAAAGATGTCACTCTTTTCGGCCAAGCGATTTTTTTTCATGGGAATCGAAAGTAGCGATCCTCAGCTTTATTCGCTGAAACAATAGTGGAAGAGCAGCAAAGGCAGGAATCAGGAATCTCTATAGCTTCTCTTTCTTTCCCTGTGCTAAAAGCACGAATGATGGAAAAATGTTGGAAGGAAAGATGGTGTCAATTGAAAAACCAGATGTAGGCACTTTCGCTACTTCAGAGGGGGGAAAAACGTGCCTGATCGTATAACAACTCTTGACAGGTATACTAATCGCCTTCTTTTCCTAAAATATACCTCACCAATCTCGCATAATTTTTCATCTATTCACTTAGATCGCATGATCATACCAAAGATACGATTGGAAGAGATACACAGTTTCCATTGTAATGCTTCCTTAGGCGAGGGGCAGGAGATGCCACTCTTTATTCCCATGAAACTTATTTATTTATATCAAATGGCAGGCTTTATGATAGTTATCATTAGCCCTTTAGTTGACTTCAGGCTTCACAGAGGGAAAGGAACATCAAAGTGAAAATAGTCGAAAGGGGGGAACAGAAGAGTGTATTAAAGATGTAAAAGGTAGATGAAAGGTGAGGTAAGTACTGTGAAAGTGGTCGAATATGACATACAGTGGGGTCATGATAGCCCGAGTTTAGAAGTGAACTGCCGGTTTATAGACTTTTTGCCGTATGAGTATACGTTGCCCAGGGTGCACCACGTGGAGGTAAGTCTATCGCACACCCCTTCCCATGAAACTAAAATTCGCTATTGGCTTCAGAAGAAACTGGTTTAGTAGATGAGATGATAAGAACATTCTGTTCTTTTCAGCCATTTCTTTCTAATTGTTAAGGACAACAATTCAGTAGTTATAAACTTTCGAATGTTTGAAGCATCATTTACCAGCAGATTTTTCAGACAGCAACAGAAAGCGTATAACCAACCTGAATCTACTTTGAAATTTGAAAGTTGCTATCGCTACTATCTTCAGATTTATAGATTCTCAAGTAATAACAGCCGATCAAGACAGATCTATTCCCTCAAGAATGATCAATTTACAAAAGAAAATATACACCCCTTCCTGCCTAAATTCTCCGGTTAGATCTTAAAGTAGAGTTCAATGGCACTTTTGAGTGGGTAATATGGAGGAGAAAGTGAGAAAGAGTTGGTGAATTTAATTAATAGATCTTCCTGGACAAATTTAAGATTGTCATCTTAAGGCAAGTGTTATTTTGATCTCTGCTGGTGGCAATTTTGAGCGCACAAATAGAAGTTGCAGATACATTTATGCATTCAACAGCAAGGGAATTAAGTATGCGGCAAATATTAGATTATCTTGCGGATGCTAAGACCAACCGCGAATTTGATTTTTCTCTGAATAAATTAACGTATATATATATATATATATATATAAACTGATATATAGATGCAATATGGTGTTGTAACTCGATTTTATGTCAGAGAACTTTCAATTAATCTTTACTTAAAGGACAGTTCAGCTAAAAGTGAGTTATACAAATATTCACGCAAATGGACAGCACTTCTATCAAACGTTGTAGCTTTCAACATTCTGTTAAGCGAGCCGTAAGTGGGAGGGGTTAAATTTTGATTTTTGCCTTAATAAATTGTAGTTCATATTTTATTTGAATATTCTTACAAATGATTCTTGAATGCTAGTTGATTGGCTGGAATCAAATACCATCTACTCGTGAAAAGCAACTATTTCCACTCCGAAATACTTCATTCCGCGAATACTAATCAGTGTCTCTATGTTCCTTCATTATTAGAAGTTTAAAGGTATCTAACTAATAAAAATTTCAAAATTCGCAATCTCTGATCATGTGAAAACGACTTTGTGTGTGAGTACTTTTCTAAAGTGATTAGGGCAATAAAATCAAAATCCACTAGGTATGGGTGGTCAACATGTGATTATTTTGATCTTACAAGAATATTATCTTTAGGATGGTTTTAAAACTAACTAGTGTTTTTAAAAGTTCATGAAATTCAAGTGGGTTTCTATGGGGCATTAGCTAATGTCAAAGGTCAAGGGGTTCTATTCTCACTGAAGCAGTTCTGACGAATAGGTATGGTCAATCCTGTTGGTTACGTCTAGCTAGTGTATGGGAGGATAGAGTTGAATCCTCTCGCAAGGGAGCATTTATGATGCCAATTTCAGTTCAAGGTGAGTGCTAAAAACGATTTTCTAAATGGACTTAGGAATTATCATTATTATTAGGCATTTACTGGCTGTTCCAGTTTGCAAATTGTCCGAATATTTAATAACAACTACTCAGTTGATTTTTTAAGTTACGCGAGTTATCGCATAAATTAATGGCCTATGCTGAAAATAAATGCAATTTGCTGAATAAATTTGAGTCCTTTCTGTTACGACCAAACCGTGATTTGTCATTTTGCAATGGAGGTCTTTCCTATCCCCATTTTAACTCACCATTCTCTGATACAAGTCTACAAGGAGACAAACGACTGAGTGGACATTCATAAAAGTATAAGAAGAAAGGCATACGCCAAAGAAGATAATTCTTTCCTCCATCCAAAAGGAATGAACATGTTTATGCTTCGAGGGGGGGGGGGGGGAGCGAGAGAGGTCCGTGATTAATTAAATAGCATCTCTCTCTCTCATTTTCTACGTCTTCAGTAATTGCCTCAAGGATTTTGGTGTATTCAGTCACGAAAATGGCAAATGTATTTTACCGTTCAATTTTATTGCGTTGAGAGATTGCATTCATTCCTTTTAAGCAAATGCTGGAAGACATTTAAGAACCTTTTGGGCCACATGATGACTATATTGCTAAGTTGAAGCCTAGAATTGAATTCAAAACTTTTCTAAAACTAAATGAATCGAAAAGCACGATTTAGATTTATTCACACGACTGCTTTTGGTTTGAAAATTATTTAATTATTTTCTTTTAAGATTTTGGTTTAAACTTAGCTAACATGTTAAACTATATGCATACAATTAAGCCATCTCCAAGGTTCAGTATGGAAAAATTACTTTATTCACTAAATTAGATATTCGAAGCTGAACAATAGTTAATATTTGCTTCCAAAATTGAGCTTTGTCACTAAAAATTATTTTGACTAATGCACATGAAATTCAAAGCTTATCTAGAATTAACATATCGGATTTATAATAAATAATTAATGAAAATTTGGAATCCCTTGATCAAACGTTTCGCTGAGTTTGGAGTAAATATTATGAATTTTCAAATTAAAAAATCAAGATGTATGCCTTTAGGTGAGAAAGACGTTTCTTTTCGATTTTCTGGAACACTGATTCGCTTAAACGGTGAAATCGGCCAAATGGAGTTCAAAAAAATTTGGCATCATTAGCCCACGTTAGGGGACTGAATATCAAGCCATAACTTTTAAACATCTTCAAAGGGAGATAATTAATTTCAGTAGTTAATAGCGCAGACAGCTGTCGTCTACATTGACGGCGTCATGTTGACCCCTTCTTTCTGCCTGTCCCCTTAACGTTTTCTATGCGCTCTTGTTCTCATTCGTACTGATTCATTTCAGGATATTACTGCAAATGCAACCCATTCCAAAGTTTAACCTGAAAAATTCTCAAGCAGAAGGGTTAAGAATCGTGTGCTTAACCCTTTAACGCCCGAATTATTTTTTGAAAAAAAGGCACCCAACTGCACTCACGCGTGTATCGCAGCAGAATGATGCCGCCGACGTGAGGAAGTTTTGGTGGTGCATCAGGCGAAAACTATAGACACGCATTGAACATGTCACTAACGGTGGTGCATCAGACACGCATTGAACATGTTTCAAAGGGCAATAGCGCCTTCTGCTACGAGTCTATTACTAGTGGAGCTTATTTTGAAAGAGGACCATACGGCCCAATAAGGGCGTAAAAGGGTTTAACTAGGCCTTTGAAATATATATTTGATTATAGTGAGAGAAAACAGAACCATCTTTGAATGCACCTATGGAAAACTTTCAACGATTGATTAGTAAGCTTGATATAGACTTAACGCATTATGAGGAATGGAAAAAATAGTTGACTCAAATATTCGTGGAAAAAATTCACTTTTAAGTATATTTTCTCCATTAAAGGGCTGATGATAAATATCATAAAGCCTGCCATTTGAAATAATAATATTTTCGCCATATATCTGGAACAATATTATTTCAATAAAACTATTGCATTTTTCTTCTTATAACCATGACCGGGCATTTATTCAAGGATACTTTTCCTGTTTTATTAGGTAACCTTCGAGTTTTCACCTCCCATGACAGAAGAGTCAAAGTTGGTCCAACAATATTTCGGCGTTCGGACAATTACTCCTGGTTTCGCTAAGCTCTTCATCCGTCAGTCGCCAGATCTCGATACTGGAATCGAGAATAACCCATTGGGTACTTCATCTGAAATTTCAGTTCGTCGGAGTCGTGATTTCACGCTGAGGGTTATAGCAACTGATAGCGGTTCACCTAAACGGCACTCATCAGAAGCTACTGTGGTAGTGCGGGTTTTGGATGTTAATGACATGACACCGAAGATTGCAGTTACCTTTCTCACTTCTCAAGGATCTCAACAACAAGGAAACATGTACTACAGGGGTCCAACTCCTCAGAGGAGTCATGGGACAGTGATGGAGAATGTCGATCGGAGTCTAATTGCTTTCGTGACAGTGCGAGATCTCGACTCTGGGCCTTGGGGTCAGGTCACGTGCAGAACAGACAATGACGCATTCAGAATGATTCCAATTAGTGGCAATGCTCCTGAATCGGACTCTTTTGAAGGCCAAAACGAAGTGGAGCCTCGATCAGCAAATGAAGAAATTTACTTCAAGTTAATGACCCAGAAACCATTCGATAGGGAAACCGTACAGCAGGTAAGCCAAGTCCTGCCTTTTATGCATTAGCTGGAAATATTTACGGAATAGTATGATTTCGCTAAATGTTTGCTTTGGCTGCCTGTGGCTTTCATTTATTAAAAACACTAGAAATGGGGATTAGGAGGCAAAAGGGAAGTGGCTCTAAAAATGGCGCTTTTTATACAATATGACATGTGGAAGTAAGCAATCGATCATTTGTTTCAATTAAAAAAAACAAAAATCGTTTTCGTTAATTGCATTGAATCAATTTTAAGATAATAAAATTAATAGTTGATATTTCTGTTAAGCATATAAATAGGTTGAGAACAGGTAGTGCTGATAGCAATAAAACGATAATAATAATTAAAAATATTAACAATGAACAATAAGTAATAACAAAAGACACTATAAGATGAAATACCAAAACTTACAATAACAAAATCGCATACTTTTTTCATTATTTTGCCAGTTATTTATTATTTAGAGTAAATAGTAATTAAAATTCATTTTGCTAATTGGTTATAAAAGTGAAGATGACTTGCTAAGATAAAGCGAGGAGAGACTTGGGTCTTGTCAAAACAACGGGTTGATTTAAGTTAAGAGTCATTTGCTTATGTCAAGAAATGGACATTTACTGGCAGTTAGACGACATCTTAATGGCGCCTTCTTGCTGGGCAACTCAGAACTTATTCAATCATAGACGCAGTCTAACTTTTTTAAATCTGTGCGTATGTTGACTAAAATTCCCACAGGAAATGTTGTGGACACCGGATATCGCATGTCGTATCCCTTGTGGACTCTGACCCACATACTTCCGGAATTTTATGCGAAAAGCCACACCTCTCGTCGGTCTTAATTTGCACACGCGAGAAAAACAGCAGTCTCCCTATCTTCCCACTAAATCATCATTGGCAGTCTACCTTGCTCAGTTACTTTGCAACTCCATAATTCCAAACGCAGGTCGGGCTGAAGTCTTTGATTTAAGGCCCTTCTCCATTAATTAGTTTAGCTAAGAACTTGATCAAAGTTCATGTACAGGTTACTTGGTGGCGTCAGAGTTCACAGTTTCGACTTCCAACGGGCACACCCAGATGGCGGAATGACAGATCATTCTGAGTTAGGTGGATCCTCAACATGGCGACTCCTATATGCTGCCTCCCAAGGCAGAAAGAGTGATAGGAAAGCTTTTGCAACTGGGATTAAGACTTATCATCACTTAGATTTTTAAAATCATCACTCTTAAAGGAATTAATGTCTCCCCTGGAGGGAATTAAGGAGAGGAAGAAGATAGGGAGAGAGAAGATTATGCAGGTGCCTCTCTCTACGCTATTTTAGTGGCGGAAATAAATAATTAATAAGCCTCCATCTGTAATACTGTTGGAAATAACCAATTAGCCTTAGCCCTGCTCATAGCAGCTCAAGCAAAGCTACTGCAGAGTACGGTACTCCCTCTCTTTCTGAGGGTTCTCTCAAGGGACCTTCCCAACCCAATCTCACAGGAGTTCAGCCCTTTTCATAATATTAAAGTACTATTATAAGTTCATACTTTGTAAATCTGGCTCTCCAAAATCTGGTATGGTCTACTGATTGATTGCATTGCAGAATATTCCTCAGTTTTCACAGGCTACTTTTAACAGCAATTGGTGAAAATCCCAGTACTCCTATTCTTTTACTTTAATTTCGTAAATTGAGTTAACTAGAGGCTAAACCTCATTTAAAATTGTATTTTATTCACTTACTCGTAGGTGACTTTTCGAATAATTTGCGTGGACAATGTTTACAAGAATGGTCAAACGCAAACATTTGTCCAAGATCTCAGCCCTTCTAACTTTGGTGCGCTTCCAAGTAGTCAAACGCCAGGCAGTGGAAAGCAATTTACTATTGTCACAGAGAGAGCTGAACAATTAACTGGAGTTTCGCTAGTTTCTGTTCGTATTCTTGATGAGAACGACTGCGCACCAGAGTTTACCCAAGCACTGTATACATTTTCTGAAGAAGAAAATATTCCAGATTACACCAAACAACCTTCATCGAAGATGGAGGGTAAAGCAATTGGAAAAATTCAAGCAAAAGATAAAGACCTTGACCCAGTTCTCACCTACAGTCTATTGAGTAATCCACAAGATGCATTTTCCATTGATTCGAAGACAGGAACACTGTTTATAATCAGACCGTTTGATAGAGAAGCTTTCCTGACATCTACCTACGAGGGGATTGAAGTAAAGCGATCACAGGCAACTAATGAATCAGTGGTAATGGCTTCCTTTCGAGCACAGGTTTCTGACGGGAAGCATACAGCAGAAACTAAGATTCAAGTGACTATCACTGATGTCAATGACTGCCCTCCAATTTTTGAAAAGACAAACTACGAGTTCTTTGTTGAGGAGAATCGAAGACCGCAGAATGGAAACCCGATTGGTGTGGTGAAAGCACATGATTCAGATGTAGGTCTGAATGGAAAAATCGTTTATAGTATCCAGCCATTAACAGATAATGACTTCAACGAATCCGTTAGCTACTCTCTAGATTATAATCCGAATAGGCATTTCAAAATTGACCCAAATACTGGTGTTATTCATACTCTCCGTCCACTAGATAGAGAGCAATATATTCACCACGTGTTTCACGTTCTTGCAATTGATACATCTGATAGTTCAGCGTATCAACAATCACAAGGTGGAAAGAAGATTCAGTTTACAGCAACAGCTACTGTCACCGTGATTGTTAACGATGAAAATGATAATTCTCCGATAATAACCTTTCCAGCTTCACATACAACACTAAGAGTTGAAGTCGGAGCTCCTGCAGGACATCAAATTTTCACAGTAACAGCAACAGATCCCGATGCAGCCGAGAATGGTACTGTTCGATACTTTTTACGACAATCCACTCCCCTCATCTCTGATACAAGAAACACCGAAGAGGGCAATGCCAAAGGAGCTATTTTTTCAATCGACGAACAGACTGGAATAGTTCTATTGACTGAAAAACTTCTAAACGCCCAGACAAAGTATCTTCTTACAATTGGAGCTCATGATCTGGGAAGTGTGGTGCAAAAGAACACTTCAATCGCAGCCATAATTCATGTGGTTGGTGTAAGTTTTTCCAGTGAAATTTAATCATAAATCTTGTTATTATTTAAAGATAACACTTTCAAAAAGACAAAAAGTATGTTTTTCGTCTTGATTTTTACGTTAAATGGGAAGTTAATAATTAATAAAAACGGACAGTTGAATCCCAAGAATATACATAGTCAGTCGGATTTGACCTTGACTTTAAATTAGTTTTAAATTATCCCTTCACTCTGCTATGTAACAACTTATTACAAAAATAGACATTGCTTAAATACCTTTTCTTATTTTAGAAAAATCAGTTAGAGAACTTCGTAAGTTCCAGTGAAAATGGGCGGATACCAACTTCAAGTAGCAGTGATACGAATCTTCCAACTTCTGGAATGCGACCTCCAATGCCTATTCACCGTGGTCCTGGAGGTGGCAGCGATGGGGGTGAAGGAAGTGGTGCACTACATGACGACTACCGAATGGGACCAGTCATGCCTCTCCCGCATCCTCCAAACAACTCTCAACCTTTTGGCTTTCTCACTGATAGGATTATCATCTTCGTTTTGTCTTCCATATTTGTTGTACTTTTGGTGGTGACTGTGGTACTTATTCTTCTCATCCGACGACGGAGGTTTATTGATATCAATGCGAATAGAGGACCTAAAGTTGGAACCAAAGGTTAGCTTTCGTAGAGATTTAACATTTTCATTTTGACTATGGCTTTCTTTTAGCTTTGGGAAACGGTTTTCTTTTAATAAAGTGTAGCAGATATGTGGCAATTGTTGGGGTACCTTCTCCATCGGATAGTAAGATCTCGACACTCTTAAGGGAGAATAACTGTGTTTGAGATAAGACCTTTTGCTATTAAAGAAGTTTAAGACTAGTTTACTGATCTCCAATAAGTCTCCTAATTAAGCACGATATTGGTAGAAAAAATGCGGTTTATTTAACCAATTAGATACAACCTTACAAGTATGGACAAAATGTGAGTTTATTAACATACCCCCCCCCCCATGATAAGTTGAAGGAAATACGCAATAGTTCTAAGTCAATTTGAATAAAAGATTTAATTTCTCCTGAGAATTGGGAAAGGCAACTTGGTTGATTACAATATTGGAACCAAGGTGTTTCCACACCTCCTCAGTTATGAATAGGGATTCGCCGCCTTTAAAACTTTATTCCATGTCATTTTGAAGAAAGTGCAGTTGACATATTCATTAGCTTTTCATAAATCTCTCATTTTGCACTTCTATTCTCGTGCGTCTTTAATTTTTTTATAATTTTAGGGTCAATTTTTCTCCTAAAGTGATCAAACCGATGAAATATTACGCGTGTTTTAAACATAGCAGGGTGCATTAGGGTTCAATCAAAGTGAATTCCATAATAAGAGGAATATCAATGTAATAGGTCAAACTTCACAAGATAAAATATTTAACTGGAGAATAGCCATTACCGCGTCAAATTCAGACGACAATTTGCATATCATGAGTGATTTATGTGGATAATTTTACGAAGTGTTTCAAGAGGAGATGATTCATGTAATGTCACAAAAATGCCAAATTGTGGAATCTTGACGTGAGACAAATTTTTTCCCATCCCTCCCAATCCCCCAAAGACGCATCTGCCCAAATGCTGATAAGTATTTAGACTTGTCAAGTCAAGGGGAATGTGAGGAGGAAATTGAAGGAGAATTTTTCGGCCAAAACTGGAATGAAATTTTTTTTCTTTCTAATCGACCTCACGACTTAATGATGACGTTTAGGAAAAATTGGGTATAATTCTTGTCAAAATATGTCATATTTTCGTTAAGTTTGCTTTTAATGACATTGACACAAGAGTAGACTAGACCACTGAAACTTCTTAGTTTTCAAAATTTTCGATATGAAAGAAGAAGAACATTGTCCTATACGAAGAGCAATAACAATCTTTCGCCATTGTTCAAAATGCCACTTTGTTTGGACTGTTCACGAAGGAGAGACCATAGCTCTATTTTATACATTAGCAAAATTTTTTTCATATTGAATAAGGTTTTGGCACTAATTTAGGTTGTTTATCGAGTACTTATTCTAGAATTCACTATGATTTTGTTCCATCATTTAGTTTGTCAACTGTTGAGGAATAACCAATAATAGCCGTGGCTGCAGACACATTCTATATTGAATATGGCAGCAAATACCTATTTGCGATAAATGGAAGATAATTATTTTCTTCCTAAATTAAAGGCACATGAGTGGTAGAAAGCAGCACAGCGTCTATTGATTAAAGGCATTGTCTGTTTATTCTTTTTTGCCCAACAATTTATGAATAATCCGCGATCATTTCCACCCATCCGATACGCATAGATGGTTGTTCTCGTGAATATCGATCATATACTTTTGAAATCGATTATCACTAGACTTATTTAATCTTTAACCGCATTTAAATAGGTAATTAAGAAAAACGAGCTGCTGGTTCAGGCGCAAAAAATAGGAAAATAAACAGTTGTGATCTGCAAATTAAGACTAAATGGCATATTTAGATATGGGCCTTCATTGTGCGTTAGATCAAGATTACAGCACATTATAATTAAAAGTACAATTTTGCTAAAACAAATTTCTCCTGGTTGAAGTGTTTTGCATGATTGAAATCTAAACTCTACTTCGGCACGTGGGGTGGGAAAATGCAGCTCTCTCCTAGTTATATTATTTTCCCTTTATAGTTTCCCAAATTCAAAACAATATTACCCGCGGAGGTTTGAATTGTTCAACGAATACACTTCGATTATTACGAAATGATGATGGCAATGGTGGAAAAGCCGTCCTCTTTCGAGCTGGAATTCCATCTGATGGAACTTCGCATACTGATTCCGAAGGTAGGAGTATCATCGCATCTGAGACGTATCCGGTGAATGCAGAAGACCCGTACACCCTTCTTAAACCGCTCAGTCGAAATCATGGTGGAACTATAACAACTAATGAGGTGGGAGTCATTTAACTTCTATTTAATGATCAATTTAAAGTTTAGATGAATCGAAAAATATTAATACAAAAGATTTAAATGATAACTAACTTAAAGATAGTTAAATAAGCTTTAAACGACAAGTATCTATTTAACGAAGATAACTATACCTACTCAAGCAAAAAATATTTAACTTACTAATAGCAAATGACTGTAGGTTTTCAATGACATTTTGAGTGCATTTTTCCCTATTTTAGGTATTTCGCGTAATTTTATTACGTTAAATTTGAAGAGAAGTGCTTTTTCACCTCTAATCTTTAAATACTATCTGTCTCAAGTTGATAATTCAACTGCACCAAAGTGCTTTTATTTTTCCCAAATATTTGCTTCAAAATAGATGACAGATTAACTTGAGGGGAAGTTTATTGATAACTATCTTAATTTTGAGTGACTGGTTTTGTGGTATTTCGCTTTTAATTACACTTAATGCGTTCGAGTGTGAGTGTTTAAGCGTTAAAACAAATTAGTTCACTACTAGGTATTATTTACAATCAGCATGTTTATCGTCAAAATATACACTTGAAATAAAAGGAGAGTCGAGGATTTCTGCGCTTCAACTTTGAGACTAGCCTCAGATATTTATTATTAGAAAAAAGGCAAGAAATTGTATAAGAGAAACCATAAATCAAAGGTTTACCTCGCACATGACAAACGGGAAGTTTAAGTGCTCTAAATATATTTAACACTATTATCAAATAGAGGTTTATTTATTTCAAATGTCAGGCGTTCTGATGGTTATCATCAGCCCCTTAGCAGACTTCGGGCTTCACAGAGGGAAGGAACGTCAAAGTAACAGAAAGTCGAGGGATGGAGAATAGAAGAATGATTTAGAGATGTAAAAGAGACAGACACAATGGCAGAGAAAAGGCTAGATGAGTACTGTGGAAGGGGTCGCATATGACATACAGTGGGGTGATGGCAGTTTGAAGTGAGAAGTCAACTGCCGGTTTATAGACATTTTTGCCGTATGAGTATACGTTGCCCAGGGTGCACCACGTGGAGGTAATTCTATCAAATAGAGATAAGATGTTAGAAATATACGCTTCCATTCTCTCTGATGGACTTGAAGGCTTGTTTGAAAACACAATGCAGTCTTCGTTTGTTGCTTTATAAGGCACAAGCAATATTCATAAATACCTATTTACCAGCCTGATTTTCTGACTGAAACTTGAGATATAAGTAAATTCCGAATCAAAGGAATAATATGAAAAGAATTTGTTGATTATTGGAATTGTAATAGTTAGTTATAGATGGCGTAGTAAAGGCCACGGTGTCTTTTTTTCTTTGTGTGCATATGCAGTTCTGAAAATAATCTAATCTTCAATGAGGAACCAACATGCTTTACTCATTTTGATTTGATTGGAAAGTATAAATTAAATATGTCAAAAAAATCCGGCTCATTAATGATTATGCAAAGAGGGTGGCACTCCTATGTTTTCAATTCATGTCTCACATTTCAGCGTAACATAAATAACTTGTATTGGCATTTATTTCGATGTATTATTTTTCCATTTAGATGGGTTACAAGACTTACAATCATTGTGTACCAATAAATTCCTTCTCTACACTTCTTCCAATACACAATACAGGAGCGAATCGTAAGTCCCCTCTTTAATGCAGAAATTGCGGGACTGATAGTGACCTTTAATTGGAGAAGGTACGTGGGGTTTTTAGTTCGAAAAGATAAAATTTTGGTTCTGTTCACTCGAACCACAGGCAAAAAAAGACGGTAGGCTTTTCTAAAATCCCTCAGATTCAACTTTGATTATAGTTTTTGGCACAAGATGAGCAGGGTAACAGGATTTATGCTTCAAAAGGTACTTAATCACTTGAGTCAATAAGGATAATTTGATCGATATGCTCTTGGTAGTCATTGGTTCATTAAGGTTCGAAATGTAAGCGCATATTCCTACCACCTTTGCGGTATATTTAGCAAGGGAATTCGATTCTTCAGGGCATGTAACAGAATTCGAAATAAGTTGGTCAGTATCATGTTTACCTATCATTAGATGAAATACGTAATGATAAGGCAAACACAGCACTTGTGAATTTTCGTAGCAGTTCAGTACTTCAAACTGGATATGTTCCACCATAAGAATGCTTCTATTTTGCTTTATCATGCAAATACAGCAACTGGCTTAAGGACAAAATGATGTGAAGTTGGCTCAACATTAGAGTTTTGTACATTTACGTTAATGGTACTCTTTCCGTTTGCATTAAGCAATGGTCGATATTGATTAATGGGCGATAACATGTCTACTCAGTGGAAAATTAGCATTGATAATATTTTTTTGTTCTATTTCTTTGAATTACGAAATGAGCGTCGTGGTTACCACGTTTATGCATAATAGAGTCTTCAAATTGCTAACACTCATAGTAAAAGAAAAGAAAGAAAGTCGTAATAATGTGAGATCATCTGAGTTGTCTATTATGAGTTACCTTTTGAAAGAATTGGAGTGGCCGTTTTTTTCATAATAGGCTTATGGTTCCAACTGCTTCAAATGTGGTCAGATTGCACTCAATTTTCTGGCTGAGTTTAAGCCACGAGCTTCAAATCTTATTAACTTAATTGTTAAGTGATGCCACTTTAATAAAGTTGTTTTCCCAAATATTTCAAATGATGCAACCAGTAATGTCTTCTAGTCATTTAAACCAATTAAAGTTCATTAGTATTACATCTTGGTCATAGCTATTTCTTACTAATATAGCTTGCAGAATCAGTTACTAGGACTCCGTGGAATAAAGCATGGAACGATCAAGATTAAGTTACATATTACAACAGACTATTACTCCTTCAAGAGTCATGTTCACTTACTTTCAACAGCAATTTTTGCACTTTAATTTAAGCTAATTAAATTGCGATTCCCTCTAGAATGAGGAATGTTTGAATTATCCTCATTCTTATCACTTTCAATGGCTGAAGTGAAAGTGTGGGATAATTCAATACGTTACACGATTTTTCCCTCGAAACTCTTTTGTCAGTTCCGATTTCCTTCAATGTCTGACGGGCTTAAATTTGAACCATTTTATTTGCCTAACAAATGACTGCGAAACTTGTATTTTCAAACTAGATATATTTCTGCATTTTTACTCGTCGGCATATTGTGCGCACGTTTTGTACTAATTTCATAACGGGACAAAAATGACAATAAATTGAAAACAGGACTGGCGTCAGTGAACAAAGGTGAGTTTATGGAGTCAGTAAAATTACTCTGGCATGAATTCTCCGGCTCAATTGCATTAACTCCCCTAATGGACTCGCATTAAATATGTATATATCTGCATCAGACGTGTCTGAGTGCATTAATTATGTATTCAAATTGAACCATTTTAAGTTGTCCATCAGTAAATTGCCAATTAACTTGTTTAAACTGAAGAACAAAGGAAAATGTATTTTCTCTCTTTATCGTCTATTTATTTGTTAATTTATCAGCATATACCGGGCGCTTATTCGGATGGGCGGTTATTTGGGGTTAAAGGTTAAAATTCAGTCTTACAGATTTTCTCTATTTGGGACTCTCCCTATGGGCGGTTATTTGATTCCACAAAATAGTTTCATGAAGTGTGATTTTCCGTTTAATCGCCCTGGGCGGACTTCCAGAAAAAATCCCGAAGGTTATAATAGATCTTAAATATAGAAATTAAGCTTAACACCGACAGTTCTTTTAATATTTCATAGATAAAGAATGAAAAGCTGACCGAATGTCTCAGTGCTCAGGAACATGGTGAGGGAGACATTATGTTAAACAGACATGCAAAGCTTAAGGTTCAACAAACTGGAAGTTATGTGTGAATGTTTGAGCAGAATTGGATCACTACATAAGACCTCGTGTTAAGCGCGTTCTGCTTTTATGGTCAAATTCTTAAATATTTAATTTAAAATTAGGATTTACTTTCGAATCGCCATTTAATCTCTAGTCTGGTTTTCCTAGATCTTAGATTAGTACCAAGTCTCCTCATGAACACGTTGAAGACCATGAATTTGGGATCAAGATATGCTGTGGTTATTTTTTATCCTCTTAGATCAATCTCTGTGGTAAGCAATTTAATAAATTTCGAGCAAATTATCTTCAACAATTCCTTTATTTCTGCCAACATGCACTTATTGTCAGTAAAATCAAAATTTCGAAATTTTTAACCATCAACTTTGCTATTTATACTCTTCTTTGTTATACTTAACTATTGCCAATATTGGCATAAAATAAGAATAAATCGTGCATCAGAGCACCTTGCATCTATTTGTCTGATGGTTGTCTGATTAATAATTCATGTTAATTCCTATATACTAGATTTAATGGCGTATGCGTGATTCAGAGACCTTAGAGACTTACCAATCAAATTCTAATATTAATTCAATGAAGGGCAAAGAAGTTAAATCTCCTGAAATTTTCCATCTATCTACTCATTATACCTGCTGGTAGTAAAGGTGCATAAATTGGAGACCTTATAGTCGAGAATGTTCTCCTCAGCGGTTTTAAAGTTTGAGACGGCATTAATCGTAGTGTACTAAAGGTTAAGGATTACAGTCTGCCAAGTAGCAGTTTATCAACCTCTTTCCAAAGCCAACTTTTCACATAACTCTATAGAACATCCGAAGTCTAGAAGTTAGCTGCGTCTGCAATGCAATTATTTTTTATATGTTGCAATTCCATTGCTCACATTTCTTCAGATAATCAATAAATAATTAGCCCCATCATCCTTTTCATTCACATCAGTTAATTTGATTAGTGAAATGGCTAGTATGTTAGCGAATGGACCAACTTATAACGTAAATGATTTGTCACCATCGATATTTTTTCCGTTTTTTATGTTTTGGTTAATGAACTGCAAATACATTAGCTTAACAACGGCGAATATAAAAGACTTTTATTTATTTATTTATTTCAAATGGCAGGCGTTTTGATAGTTTTCATTAGCCCTTTAGCTGACTTCGGGCTTCACAGAGAGGAGGAGGAACATCAAAGTGACGAAAAGTTGAGAGGGGGCACAGAATACTGATTTACAGATGTAAAGGAGTCGGACAGACACAAAGGTAGAGAAAAGGTAAGATGAGTACTGTGAGAGGGGTCGAATATGGCACACAGTGGGGTCATGGTAGTCAGAAGTCAACTGCCGGTTAATAGATTTTTTCTCGTATGGGTATACGTTGCCCAGAGTGCACCACGTGGTGGTAAGTCTATCACACACTCCGAATAGAAAAGAATAAACTGATATTAACAAATTTAAAGTTACATTTAATGGATCAAGTCGTTTAACTTCACTCAAGCCT